GTCTCCAATTGATCCCGCATTTGGTCGACAATACGTGTGACCGCAGAATACACTCATTTGTGTGCAAACTCTTCAGCAATAATCTCATAATGACTTAAATATCATACAAACCAATGAATGGCAAAAATATGGGACTTTTTGAAACTTTTTTGGCCTTAAATTGTACTCAAAATTTTAGACCAAATCTAATACGCGATTAAAAGTCTGTGTTTTTGTGGGATATCTTCAATGAGTTCAGGGCTTTGGCGTCGATTGCAATGTGTTATGAGATAAACATATCTTCAGATATAATCAATGGTAAACACGATATCAATGAACTGATAATAAAAGGCAAATAAATGGCATAAAAAACAAAGACTGAAAAAAATCGCTAATTTGAAGGACAAAAGTGTTTGCGTTTATTATGACTAAAAAGTTATGACAAAAACAATCAACAAATTAATGACTAAAATGTGGACAAAAATAAGTTTATAAACTTTTTGACAAATGTTTATTAATTTATTTCTTAATTAATTACAAGTTATCATTAAATTCAATACAAAACAGAGTTTAAAAAAACTTTTAATCAAAAAGTTATGACATTTTTACAGCACTTTATGCGCAAAATCTGATCACAAAAAAACACAATAAAAACAATACAAAAACACATTTACATTGAAAACATAGGACTCGTGGTCGCAACAAACGTCTCCGGAAAAGAGGGGGTGAGAGGGGGTTGAGTGTGGGGTTAGTTCACACGTTAACACACGCGCAGAGAGTGTGGCCATTGATTGGCACACATTTTGGGGGTTTTATTAATAAACGCTTACGTTATTTATGAATGCAATTATTTTGAGGTTTAGTTTTTATAAACAAAAAACACAAAATTTAATTTAATTGTGAAATCAATCGCCGATTGAATGCTATATTAGTTATGGTTTTTATTCAAATCCCAACACAATTGACAGACGAAGAGCTTATGCTTCAGAGGAAGTACCAGAAACTGAAGCGAAAGGTTTGTGAATCACATAATGATTGATATCTGGAGTGACTATTGAATCAATTAATCCTTAAAACCCGCAGAAGAAGGCATTGCAGGCCATAAAAGCACCGAAACCGGAGCCGCAACCCATCCAACAGGTGGTGAAACGCAAGTCAGAGAGCGGTACGGATGCCAAAGAAGTGGCCAAAAAACTGCTCAAATCGGGAAAAATACACGCAATCAAAGGTCCCGACCATAAGGACAGACAGCACTCGGGTTTCAAACGATCCAAAGCGTTGGAGAGGAAGCGATGCGGCGGTGCCGACAAACCGGGCGGTTATCAACCCTTTCACTTGTCTCACTCTCTCGATGAGGACAATGGTCTGACACCACACCAACCGATGGGTGATTGTGTTTCATTGTTTGTCTTGTGTTTTGCAGTGGCTTTAGAGGACATTCCGTCCAATCGTGTGAAACCTCTGTACGAGAGTTTTGTGTCGTCGAGAGATCCCGAGTCAGTGGCCAGAGAGGAGACGTTCCGCGAGAAGCGAAGGGACGGCAAAGCGAATTACGTGAATAGAGATACCCCACAGACCGGTAACACGATTTATGTTCACGGATTCGGTATCAATGAACCCATTCTGAGGACTGGTTTCTCTATTTTTGGCAATATTCTCAACATTACGTCCGAAACGGACAAAAAGTTAGTCAATTGTGATAATGGGTAACCAATTAATCAATTGTTTGGTGTGTTTTAGTTGCGGTTTCGTAACGTTTGACTCAATCGAAAGCGCCAACAAAGCGATCGATGAGATGAACCAGAAGTCAGTGAATGGCATCAAACTGAAGGTAATGCTCGCCCGAAGGCAACCGGTGGTCGTCGACAAGAATAAAGCCGAGACGAGTGGTGATTCGGTTCCGCATTCCTCCGCACCCGATGTTTGGTCTTCAATCGCCGCCAGTTATTCACAGAAGAGTGCCGTTAAAGACAAACGTAATCTTATTAGTTATGAAGAGACCGATATATTCGCGTCCATGTGATCGCCATTTCAATGATATTTATGTTTGAAATCATTTCATTTCCATTATTCATACAATTTATGTAATTTTTATATATTGATAAATAAATATTTAAAACTAATTAAAGCTTACAATTTTTGTTAATTATTGTTCAAATCATTGTCTAAGACTTAATTTAGCTAAGTGTCATCATATTTACCATTAAAATAAAACGAGAGAGTTTAAACTTGATATCATAAAATTTTAAAATCATTAATTTGATAAATAAATAGATCCATTTTATATTGGCTACAAAATCTAATCATTATTAGAAATAATTTATGATGGCATAATAAATGAAATGTTGATTGTTATTCAATATACTATTGCCTTATATTGTAAGTTAAGTAATCATAAACTTTGTATTAATGCTTTATTTTATATTCTTTATGAGAATAAAGTGATAAGAAAATGATTTATATCATCGTATTTCACATTTCACACCGGTATATTTGCTCAGAATTTTCAATATTATATTTGACCATAAATTGTGACTTGTGTTCAATTTTTGCAAACAAATTATAATTCATTTCATAAAAACAACGTAAACTTGTATATAATTAATTCAAACATAATTTAATAGGAAATATTATTGTATATATTTGATACGTTATGTTAATTTTATGTAAGCTTTTACAAAACTTATTATAATTATTCCTTATTTTAATATTCATTTCATAATAATTTTTTATGACTTTTCAGTAATATTTTGTCATTTATTGATCGCAATCGAGTCGACAGTTTGCCCGGAAAAGCAAATAGTGTTTCCCTGTGTTTGCCATCAAAGCGCAAAAGAAACGCTTCCAGACATCACTTGCAGCAGAAGTGATGTCAACGTATCTGAAGTGCTGACAAATATCCGACTTAACAGCGGCACAGATAATGAGCTGCAATTCGGTCGACTCTTTTGGACTAATGGCCAGTCAATCAACGTTACGGACAACTTCTTCGCCGGCGTCTCCTTTGAGAAGCTATATCTGGGAACCAAACGAAAGTACGCAAACATATTGCACATCAGTTCCGGCGCTTTCAACGGAATTGCTCACAGAATTAAATCAATTGTCATTAGATCTCAGGATCTGATGGATGAGCGCAACCTTTTTGACGCGTTAAGACGGCTCACAAATGTCGAGTATATCGGCGTTGAGGGCATTGGTCTGCAGACTATACCGGAAAACGCGTTCAAAACGGTAGACAATTGCCATCCGTTGACTGATTGCGCCCAAAAGCGGTTGACATCCATATCGTTCAGAGTCGGTGTCACTGAGTCTCTCATCTTTTTGGCTGCGGTCGAGAGTCAAGCGTTTTATGATTTGCCAAATCTTACGTCACTTGACATGAGCTCTCACGACATCCGTCGGATCGGCGCCCGTGCCTTCGCTTTCGCTCACAAATCGGATCAGTTGTTGACAATTGATTTGTCAAAACAATGGGACCGACACTTAGCGGCACACAGTTTTGACGTGAGAGCGTTTGAGGGCACGAATCGACCCCTTTATGTCGATTTGTTTGGAAACAAGTTTTTCGACTCCCTATCAGAGCCTGTGTTTCGACCCCTTTTGGAGTCGGACTCCAGGAATAGACTCCGATTGGGAATGAAAATGAAATGCGATTGTCGTCTGTATTGGCTTTGGCACCAAAGACACACTTTTCAGCCGCAGTTCATTGAATGGGTTTACGACGATTTGCCCCCAAATCAGACCAAACACACCATTCAGTGCTCCGAAGGGGTGGAAAACTTTTGGCTAAGAAATGAATCACATTTTATCAATTGTGATAACGATTTAAAAAATACCGAACTATAGTATAGTTTTTTGTATAAATACTAATTAGTGTCGGTCAATACAAATGCTGTTTTTGTCAATAGGATTTACAATAATTGTAATTATTATTATTGCATTTATAGTTTTCCTATCAATTAATCACTTTATAAATTGCTTTTTGTATTTCCGTAAAATGAAAGGTTGGGAAGTGTTTGGGTAGTTATTCTAGGATTTGGGTGAGAAATAAATCAGTAATAAATTAATTAAAATTCAAAATTAATAAACAAAATTCATTTATTATTAGTTCAAACTGTATTTTTTTGTGGTAATAAATCTTTTATTTAAATACAATTACATAAACAAAAACAAGTCAATTGAGAGAGAAATAGGATTGCAATTAAAAGTAAATACAAAGACAATGTTTTATATAATACCTAAAACAAAACATTTAATTATAATTAATTAATTAATAATTACTTATTTGTGTTAAATTGTATTTTTCTTTATTACAAAAAAGTCATATAAAGGGAGAAGAAGACAGAATTGAAGGATGAGATAGACTTTGAAGAGTAGAGTTTTGGAGAAGAGTTGAAAAACAGATTTTGAATAATAAATAACAAACAAAACAAATATTTCGATAAAAACTTTGTATTTGGAGGAAGAGGTCGATAGGAAGAGCATTGAGACAGACATTGAGAGAGACAAAGAGACAGTAGAAGTAGTAGTAGTTCTCACTATTGAATTGAATTAAGTTATTTAAATGTGATTCAAAGGAAAAACATTAATGTAAAAAGTTTTTTGTTCGCGTTTTTCTGTGGTTCCGATGCGTGAAAACATTTGTCGAGAAATACATATCATTTGTTTTAGAAATATATCATTTGAAAACTTAAATATTAATAACAATATAATAAATGAGAAATGAATGATTGAAAATGATTGCGTGGACACAACTAATCAATAGACACAATCACTGCCATCGTCTGCAATGTCTGCGTAGTCATAGTCGTCGTCACCGACTGGATGTGCACTTCGGGCACGAATACCATATTTTCCCGAAGCTATCATATAGTCATTGAAACCGCTCTCACCGGTAAAGTCCAATAAACTCCATAGCTCCCTGTCCTCCGAACGCTTCCAGTCCTTCAGATATTGTCGAAAGCGATTGTTTGCAAACAAACAGCTTTGAGATTGGATTCAATAAACGCAAAACCAAATTCTCTTCATCCGAAGTCAAACCCATCTCTTGTTTGCCCAATAGTCGCACATTCTGGCAATTAAATCACGTATTAATAAAACATTACGATCTGTTTCATAGCATCCATACCTCAAACGCTAACATGAAGGCGCCCTTTGCCTCGACGTCCATACGGGCCAGAGTTTGCATATGAATTGGATAATCACTGATAGGCTTTCCAAATGCTTTTCGTCTCTGAGCGTAATCTCTGGCAATACTTATTATTCTAGAAATCATTTACCGGTATTAAAATAATACAAATAAATAATTAGATTTAATACTTATATTATATAATATATCACTGAATACCTTCTCATATAAGCGGCGCTTCCAATGGCATTATGAATGCGAGTGATTTGCAACATATTAGCGATTGCGGCCACACCTCTGCCCTCTTCGGACATCTTAATTGGCAAATAAAAGCATAAATGACTTTTAAAACAATCACTTCCAGTGTATTAATTGCGTTAATACTTTATGAGCAATAGTGCCGTCCAATAGTAGTTCAGCGGTGGGCACCTGACGAGTGCCTAATTTGTCTTTTAGGCGAATCATATCGATTTCATTCAACCGTTTGGTCGCCTCGTCTCTGATCTTCAGGAAAAACAGAGTCAAACCACGCGTTCCCTGTATTTGACACCAAAATACATAAAATGTTTAAATATTGAGCCAAACTTTGACGACTAGTAAAACTCGTTTTTACTTGTAATACGTTTCCCTCTTCGTCGGCGATTCGGCCCAATGTTAACGCTATGTCCGCATCGGTCGCCGAAGAGAACCATTTATATCCGTAGAGCTTAAACATGTCTCGACCAATAGAGACGGCCACTGTCTCAGTCCCGCCGGCTTTTGACCACAAATAAGACCACAAGATATCACTAATTTGTTAGCAAAGGAATGGATAAAAGAATGAGAGAGAAAATGGTTTCAGACCGACATCAGATCCGCCGCCCTTTTCGGTCATCCATTGGCCGGACGTGTAGAACGTGTTGGCGTCACGAGTGGTCAGTCGGTGGTAAATATCCTCGTA